GAGGGCAAATAGAGAACAACTTATACAATGATATTAATTATAGAGAAAACAACTTTCAAAGACTTTAAAATGCTGATCAACACAAGACACAAGTCCAAAAGAATGAAAGTGAAAATTGTAGCTCACCGACTGACAGAAAAATGATAAACTTAAAATAGAAAAAGATACTTACATTTTCAGACATAGCTAATGTGGACATTTGCTTGGCTAGATGATTACAGATATGTATGTAAGCTTTATCTTTTGGGGGTTTTTTAAATATGCTTAATGTCTGTGTGAAAGGAAATAATGAGACTGATAGATTAATTTTCAAGATATTTCAATCTATACTCTGAATCTATCAGTTCTCTATCTAGAGGTGGTTAGCATGTTTCATTATGAATCCTTTGGCATTGTGGTGTTAATTGTATTAATCTGAGTTACTAAGTCTTTCAAAGTTGATTGTTTTTACAATATTTCTGTTATCTCTTGTTCTGGTCATTATCCTAGTTCTGCTCACTTCCTCTTCCTGAATTTTTCTAAAATCATCCTCTTCATCATTTTTAACATATCAGTATTCCATCACAATCATATACCATAACTTGATCACCTATTACCTAATTGATTCCCCAATTAATTATGTCAATTTCCAACTCTTTGTCACCACAAAAAGTATGAATACCTTTGTACAGATAGGTCCTTTTCCTCTTTGATCTCTTTGGAGTATAGACCTAGTAATTGTACTGCAGGGTCGTTGTTGCTGTTTGTCCTTTGTTCTCTAAGAGGACCATGACATCTGGAAGATGATGCCATGCCTTGCAAGTTAATTGGATTTAAGGGGGGGGGGGGAACAGAGGTGCTGTGCAAGGCCACCAGCCTCACCTTCTCCTCAGGAGCCATTTGGGTCCAATGGCAAAATATAAATCAGGAGGATGCCCCCTACTGCAGGATCAATGTACAATTTAATAACTTTTTGGGCATAGTTCCAAATTGCTTTCCAGAATAGTTGGACTAATTTACAACTCTGCCAATACTGTATTGATGTCCCTGTTTTCCTCTTCTTTCCCTTTTTTTTTTTTGGTCATCTTAGTCCAAATGATGAGTGTAAGCTAGTACTTAGTTGTTTTAATTTGCATTTTTCTGATTATTAGTGATTTTGAGAATTTTTTCATATGGCCCTTGATAGCTTTGATTTCTTCTGCTATCCTTTGATTATTTATTAATTTGGGGAGTGCCTTTTCTTCTTATAGATTGGACTCAGTTCCCACGTATTTTAGAAATGAGATTTTTATCAGAGAAACTTCCAGCAAAGATTTTCCTAAGTTTCCCAGTTTTCTTCTAATTTTAGGTGCATCTGTTTGGTTTGTGCAAAAACTTTAATTTTATGTAATCAAAATTATCCATTTTATCTCCAGTGAACCCACCTATTTCTTATTGGGTCATGAACTCTTCACTGTCCATAGATCTGACTGGTGATTCTTCTCTGCTCCACTAATTTGCTTATATATCACCCTTTATGTTTAAATCGTGTACCCATTTCAAACTCATCTTAGTATATGCTGTGAGATGTTGGTCTATGCTTAGTTTCTGCCAGATCATCTTCCAGTTTTCCCAAACATTTTTGTCAAATAGTGAGTTCTTGCCCCAATTGCTGGGAGACCAGGTGGTGGGGTGAGGAATTTATCAAATTCGAGGTTACAGTGCTCATTTGCTTCTCTATTTTGTATACTTAATCGTCCCACTGATCAACCTCTCTATTTCTTACCCAGTACCAAACTGTTTTGATGATTACGGCTTTGTAGTATAGTTTGAAATCTGGTACTGTCAGGCTCTCTTCCTTCCCATTGATTCCCTTCATATTCTTAACCTTTTGTTCTTCCAGGTGAATTGTATTATTTTTTTTAGCTCTATAAATTAATTCTTTGGTAGTTCGTTATGGTAACTGAATAAATGAATTAATGTTGGTAGCATTGTCATTTTTATTATATAGACTCAGCTTACCCATGAGCAATTAATATTTCTGCAATTATTTAGATCTACCTTTGTGTGAAAAGTGTTTTGTATTTTTTTATTTTTCATAATTGTGTTCCTAGTGACAGCACACAGTGGGCATTTAATAAATTCTTGTTGGATGATTTATAAGAAAGGACCATGTCATGGAAATCAAAGGTATGGAACATTTAATGGAAGTGATCAAGGTGCGGCAAAGAAAAGAAAAAGAAAAAGAATGAAGACTGAGAAAAGACCACTGAGTTGGATTAAGAAAATATTGGAGCTCTCAGAAGTCTAATTGCAGGAAGCTGATAAGGGAATAAAGGCAGGTATATTCGTTGCTCTTTGGGGGAACACATGTTTGAAAGGAAGAGAAATAATACTGCAGTGAAGGAAAATGAGAGATAGCAAGGTTAAGTAAAGGCTTTTCCAAGATAAGGAAGACTAAATATTTACTGAGTACCTATAAGGTGGACAGTAACTTACAGAGTACACATGGTTCTGAGTTTGTAAACATGAGTGAATGAAGTAATGGTGATGCAATTGACAAGGAAGTAAAAAAGATGAACAAATTTGGTGTGTTCAGATTTAGACTTGAACTTGAAGTGCTGGCTAGACATCCAGGAGGAATTGTCTTGTAGGTACTCAAAAGTGAGTGTGAAGCTCAAAAGAAAGATCAGGGTTTTATCAAATTGGAAAATATAATAAAATCCAGACATTATCAATGTTGAAGAGGCTTTGAGAAGGTGGATTCAATAACTGTAAAGTCATACAATCATTTTGGAAAATAAGGATGTCAAAGGCAGGGAAATGTCCTATATTTGCCAAAGTATTTATAACAGCACTTTTTGCAGTATCAAGAAACTGGAAAAAAAAAGTTAGTTTCCCATTGACTGGAAATGGCTGAATAAATTGTGGCATATGGATGTATTAATATATTATTGTAGTATATGAAACAATGTAAATATTTAGTATTCAGAGAAACTTGGGAAGATATATAAGAATTGCAGCAGAATTAAGTAAGGCAGAACCAACTGCACAATGTACACAATGAGCACAATAGGTGAAGGAAAGTAATACCTCCCCCCCCAAAAAAAAATCAGTAGCGCAATCAATACACTGACCAAGATGCTGATGCATGCTAGACTACCCAACAATGTGCAACAAGCTTGCCTGCCTATACTTGCTTGGTAAGACCTGTCTGGGGACTTGGCCGTTGATGGGCTATAACTTGCATTTCGTGTGTTTATTTGGAAAATAATGTAATCACTACAACTTTAACTCTGTTACACAACAGATGAAACATATATGAATGGTTTTTCAAAATTCTCTTCTCTTTCCTTATGCTTCCACTATCCCCTTATTTTTATTCAGTACCCCCCAATTGTACCAGAAGCTACTACCACCCCTCCCCCATTGTTCGGGGTGGGGGGGCAATATCGGCCACTTTGGGAACTTCTGGAAACTGTGGGAGTGGATAAGATCATCATTGATTATATATTTTGTATCTACTTATCTGTTTTTTCCACCTAATGGAAGAAGCAACTCCTTGAGAACAGGCACCGTTCCATTTTTGTCACTATATCACTAGCACCTAGCACAGTACCTGGCACCCAACAAGGAATTAATAATGCTTATTGCAATGAAATGAGTGCCAATCACAAAGCTTGAAAGGCTGAAGGAGGGGGCAGCTAGGTGGCACACTAGATAGAACACTGGCCCTGGATTCAGGAGGACCTGATTTCAAATCCGGCCTCAGACACATAACATTTACTAACTGGGTGACCCTGGGCAAGTCACTTAACCCTCATTTCCCAACCAAAAAAAAAAAGACTGAAGAACTAATATAATATTTATAATACTTTTGAGAAGAGTATGTTCAAACAGATGACAATGACTAAAAGAGGTCAACAGCGTAGATAAGTGGTTATTCCTATGTCAAAAATTCTTTAGTTTAAAAGCGTGCTTAATTAGTCTTGGAGATTAAGTTCATAATAACTATTTAGAAAAAGGCTTTTTTGAGTAGATGGATTTGTATGCTGTAACATACCTTTGAAGCCACATCACCCAACCTCATTATTCCTCATTTACCTCTGCTTCAAAAATAGCAAACAAACCAATCCCTTTCACAATGGCTTATTCTGTACCTGGCTGCATTTGGGTCCTCTTAGGGTCTTTGGGTCTTCTCTCAATTATCCACTATATCCCAGGACCATTATCATTGGGAAAACTCACCAATCTATTAGATCAATTTGCCTTGGTACTTCCTCACACCTCACACAGCTGCGGAAAGCACAGTGTGTCTGGCAAACAGGCCCTTAATAAATGTTTATTGACTACGATTTATTGACCATGCTTAGCGCATCTTCCTGAGAACCCCCCCCCCAAAAAAACTACTTCTCTTGCTATTAAATTCTAAGCCATTCGCTGTCCTTTCTCAAGATATTTATGTATAACACTAGTTTCTTCCAAATTTAGATTGATCCTGCTGATCGGAGGCAGCGTTTAGGTAGGTTTAAGCCAGGACACCTCTACATAGGGTGGGAAGGAAGTCCATTGTTTCGGTCTTGGTAGCGAACGCCCCACTTCCTTCAGACAAGGTTTTTAAATCTGGCCTCCCTCTCCTTCTTCTCTAAGTCCCAATATCTGGGTAGATAAGTGGGCTGCTTGACCACATCTGTGGGCATCGAGGGACTCCTAAAAAGGTTCCCGGGGCCTTTTTCCACCCAGACATCCCTAATTTAAATAGAGCTGAACCGCAGGGAAAGAGGTCTCGGGCTTTCTGCGGCGCTGTGGAAAGCTGCAGCCTGGCCTGGGGGCTCCGGAGGCTGCATCGCCCAAGCTGAGTCCCCAGAGGGCGGACTTGGGAATTCTCGGATGAAGACAGCAGCGAGAGGCCACAGCAAAGCCCCAAGACCGCAGCTCCGCAGGCCCACTCGGACCCTGCGGCTGGAAAGGGGGCGGTGACGTTTTTAAGGGGCGGGGTTTCCGCTTCCGGCTGCAGATTGTTGACGACAGAGACTGCGGCGGCGCCAGGCCCGGGGCTGGGAAGAGTCAGTCGGGAAGGAGACGGTTCAGTGACAGATTCAGCTGCGGCTGGGGCTGTGGCGACGATGGCGGAGGGGCCGGAAAAAGCCCAAGGCCGCCTTCCCAGGCAGCGCGGCAAGCGGGAGAACCGAGGCGGGGGCCGCGACTCCGAAGCCTCCACTTCGAGCTCGTCAGCCGTCGTCCCTCCCCGGGACGAGCAGCAAGGCCAGTCACGGGCCCCGGGGAGGCCCGAGGCGAAGAACCTCGCAGCTGCCTCTGCCTCCACCTCCGAGGCGAGTCCGGAGCGCGAGCCCGGGCCCCCCGAGGGCGAGGTGGACCCCGGCGGCGGGCAAGCGGAGAAGCCGACGGCGCGCGAGTACTCCCGGCAGGTGCACGAGTGGCTGTGGCAGTCGTACTGCGGCTACCTGACCTGGCAGAGCGGCCTCCTGGCTTTCCCCGCCTACGGCAGCCCCCCGCTGCAGCCGCAGCCGCAGCCGCCGCCGCCACCGCAGCCCCAGCCCCAGCCCCAGCCGCCTTCCTGCGCCCTGGGAAGCGGCAGCCCAGCCAACGGCCCGGCGGCCGGGCCCCCGCTCGCCCCGCTGGGCTACTACAACCCCTTCTACTGTCTGGCCGCCCCGCCCGGGGCCGACCCCGCGGCTGCAGCTGCGGCGGCGGCGTCTACGACCTCTGCCGCCCCTCCTGCAGCTGCCGCCGCCCCCTCCCCGGGGCCCCGGGCTCCCAGCTGGCAGGGATCGGCGAGATTAGCTCCTGTGACCAGGGCTGGAGGGGTCACCGCGCCCCGGCAGCAGAACGAGAACGGGCGTCCTGCAGGTTAGAGGCGGGCGGCCGGGTGGGTGTGTCTGTCTCTGGGGCTCTGTGAAGGGGGTGGGGCTCTTTTGGAAGCAATGATTCCTGCTTTTATTCCAATATTGCTTCTGTATTTTTTTTTAAGCGCAGGAATTCTTGCACCTTTCGGACCTCGATTTTCTTCCTTAAGGTGGGCATAAGATGGACATAAGGCTGCAATTTCCAAAGGGCACGACTAGGTTTCTGGTCTTCTTCACGCATGTGCACCACAGTTCTCTTTCTCCTTTGCTCCATTAAACTCCACGTTAGGGAAGCTCTTTTTGCCGCCCGACCTTTTCCGCGAACCCTCCTTGGGGATTGTTTTGTATTATATTCCGGACCAGAGGTAATATGGTAAAGTAGATAACAGTTCGGGGACAGAGTCAGAAGACCGAGGTTCATATATGATCACTCAGGGTAACCACCTTGAGGTGACCATGGGCAGATATGCCTATGAATTTATCAGTTTGAGAGTGATTTTACTCTATACTGCTACCTAAGAGATTATGTACTAATTTCTTGTAATTATTAAGCTTCATTAACTATTTTTATTGTTAGAGGAAAGGATTCCTTTTCAGTGGGAAGTGTGTCAGGAAATAATTGTAGTGTGAAAAGGAATGGCATTGATAAAACATTTAAAAACCAAAATGGTAAAATAATGTAATGGTCAATTACTGCTCTGCAAAAACAAGGTTATAAATAGAAGTAGAACTTGTGGTTTCATTAGTATAGTAAGCTGCCAGAAAAGCTACCAGTGCAGGCTGGTACCTTCTTGGCAACTTAGAATTCCCAGTTAAATGAGTTGTCCTGCCAATATGTTCCAGAGACAGGACTTGAACCCAGAGCTTCCTGGCTCTGAGGCCAACTCTCTAATATGACAGTGGTCTCTGTAATAAATATCAAGAATATGAGGACTTCAGGGAAACATGGAAAAATATATGTTGACCTGAAGCAGAGCAAAAAAAAAAGCACAACCAGGAGAATACCATACATGATAATTGCAATAAATAATGTAAACAAAAGTGACTCAAAAAGGTAGCTGAAATGATATTTAATGCAGTGACAGTCTTGGTCCTTGAGGACAGAACAAAGAAACCCTTCCCTCCTTTCTGTAGAAAAGTACAAGTCTTCAATTAAGAATGTTGTATACACTGTCAGAAGTAGTGATTCTGTTGGTCAGAGTTTTCAGAATTTTAGGAGTTGGAAGGGACCTCAGTGAATCTCTAGAGTCTAGACCAAACCACACACTAGAGGAATCTCAGCTATAGCATACCCAACAAGTAACTGTCCAACTTGGGCTTGAAGATGACCTCCAAGCAGGGGGAAACCTACCTCTCAAGGCAGCCTGTTGTACTTTTGGACAACCATAATCATTAGGATGTGCTTCCTGACATCAAGCCAAAACTTGCATCTTTTCAACTTCTTCCTTTTCTTTCCCTCCCTCCCCCCATTGCTGCTTGTTCTGTCTTCTGGAGCCAAACAGAGCAAATGTAAGCCTGCTTTATCTGGACAACTCCTTGAGTCTTCTCTTCTTCAGGCTAAACATGCCCAGTTCCTTCAACAGATCCTTATATGACCTGGCCCTTCACTATTCCATTTGCCCTCCTCTAAACTTGGCACCCACAGACTCACATTTGTAACTGCCGATTAGATATCTCAAATTGGATGTCCTGAACTCACCATATCCAAGACTGAGCTCATTATCTTTTCCCTTAAACTCTCCCCTCTTTGAGATTTCCCTGTTACTGGCCAGCGTACCACCATCCTTCCATTCCCCAGGCTCACAACCTAGGTAATCATTTTTGACTCTTCACTTTTTCATTTCCCCCTCCCAAATCCAAACTGTTACCAAGATCTGTCATTTTTATTTTCCTGAATCTGTATATCTTCTCTCCTCTGACACTGCTATCAACTTGGTGCAGTCCCTTATCAGCTTATGTCTGGAGTATTGCAGCAGCCTGCTGATTGTTCTGCCTGCCACAAGTCTCTCCCCATTCCAGTCTGTATTCCACTCAGCTGACAGTGATCTTCCTAAAACACAGGTTTGACCATGTCTCATGCATATTCACCCCTTCTCAATAAATAAAGTCCACTGACTCCCTTTACCTCCAGGATTAAATATAAAATACTGTTTGGCATTCAAAGCATTTCATAACCAATCTTTTCTTTTTTGAAGTCTACATTTTTGTTACTTATTACCATAAACAAAATACAATGTATGTACAATATTAAAATGAAGCCACACTAAAAAGACACTTGTAAAAAATATGAAACACTTCACAAATTTGTGTGTCATCCTTGCGCAGGGGTCATGCTAATCTTCTATCTCTGTATCCAATTTTAGTATATGTGCTGCCAAAGTGAGCACTTTCAATAACCAATCTTCACCCCTCCTTTCCAATCTTCTTTTATCTTGCACCTCATCACTTACTCTGCAGTCCAGTGACTTGTTATTCCCTGAACAAGATAATCCACCACCTTGACACCAGGCATTTTCACTCTCTTTCCCATGCATGAAATATTCTCTTCCTTATGTTCTGGCTTTCCTGGCTTCCTTCAAATCCTAGCTAAAATCCTACCTTCTACAGAGAGTCTTTCCCTATCCCTTCTAATTCTAGTGTTAATTACTCTTTATTATTTTCAATTTATTTGGTATATGGCTTGTTTGTACATAATTGGTTGCATGTTGTCTCCCCCATTAGACTTGTAAACTCCTTGAGAGCAGGAACTATTTTTTACCCTTTTTTGGCTCCCCTTTGCTTAGCACGTTGCCTAGCACATAATAAGCATTTAAATAAATGTTTATTGACCAAAAGACTCCACTGGAGATATCTGGATATCCAACCAGTAATGAATCTACCTGATTTTATTGTCTAATCTGTATCTCTCCATCTTCTCCATGCAAGTAGTATGAGACCATCATCAAAAGCTTTGCCAAAATCTAAGCAAACTATATCCACAGCATTCTTCTCATCTACTAGTTGAGTAAACCTATCAAAAAAAAAATGAAGCTAGTCTGGCATAATCTGTTATTGATAAAGCCATTCTGGTACTTTGTAATCCCCAATTCTGCCTTTGTAGGTATTCACTAACCATGTTTTTAATGATCTCATCTTGGATTTTTCCAGGAATCAAGATTAAGCTCGTTGGCCTATAGTTTATAGGTTCTGTTCTCATCCCTTTTTTGAAAATTAAGACAGAATTTGCCCTCCTCCAATCTTGTAGTACCTCTCCCATTTTCCATGATTTTTGAAATATCTAGACAGTAGCTTGGCAGTCATATTTGCCAGTTCTTTCAGAGTATGGTTCATCTGGGCCAGGTGATTTGAATTCATCAGAGGCAACTAGGTGCTGTTTCCTTTATTTGGGGTATCAACTACATGTCTGACATTTTGGTTTTATCATTTCCAGTTAAATAACAGTGCTTAACTGTTCTTTGTTAAAATGGAGGGCGTATTGGGAAATTACTACTGTGTAAAGAAGCAATAGCGAAACCTGTTTTTAAAAAATGGTATATTGGAAGTAGAAAAAATGAGTTTGTTATTGAAAGAAAAATAAGCTTCACAGTTTTGTTTTTCTGTCTGCTTGTCTTGACAGAAGAAAGTTGTGTATCTTTTGTTTTGTTTTGTTTGGGGAAGGGGGTCATAATACGTAGAACAGGAAAGAAAAAAGAATTACACCTGTGATTGCATTGATATAGGTAACTCTCTCTACCAGTGCATATACCAATGCATACATCTGCTCTGTATCTTATAGTTCCAGAGAGTTGCTAGAGCACTGAGAAGTTGATGGTTACACCACTGAAATGGTTATAAAGTCAGTGTGTGTCAAAGGTAGGACTTGAACCCAGGTCTTCTTGCCTTTTTTTCAGTGTTCTAGGCTGATGCTATAATGCAGTTTCTTAATAAATGTGTATCACATAGATGAATTAATGAGATATGATACAAATTGAATTTCGACTGAAAGTTCTATTTAATCTTTAATGCCACTTAGAAGAATTTCAGTTCAACATTCCAGATTTATTAGGATTAGCTTTTTTGTTTTTAATGACAGACTGTTACTTATAAGTGGGAGAAGAACCAGCTGTACTCTGGTTTTTATCTTGGTCAGTATTCAGGAAAATAACAAGTTAATCTCCTATACAGCCTGGTTGTCAATATGATTAGCAAATCTAATAACTGATGCAAATCTTGTGAGGTAATGTTGGACATAAGAATTTGAGATCCTAAATATCTGCATATATGCTTCCCTTTGGTTTTACTATAAAGTGCATAGTTTTGTGGAATTATGCTTTTATGTCTGGACTGTTCCATTGAGGTTATCTAACTCAATCCACTTCTGAAGCATGAATCACCTCTTATAGCATCACCAAAAATTAGTAATTGTCTAACTTCTATTTTAAAACCTCCTTGATGAGTTATTATGAGTAATTAATTCACCTAACTTCTGAGGTAGCCTATTTAACAATTCTCATTGTTAAAAAAGTTTTTCCCCCTTACATTGAGTTGAAAAGTGCCTCTTCATTCTTTGTTTTGTTCTCTTACACCAAGCAGAATTAGGCTAATTCCTCTTCTACCTGACAGCATTTCAGGTATTTGAATATGGTTGTCTTGTTCCCTGTCCTTCCAAAGCTAAACATTCCCAATCCTTTCAACTCATTCTTGAGTAACATGGTTTCAAGTCCTAGATGAGCTCCAGCTGTCCTTTCTAAAATGTTCTAAAATGTAATTTTTTAAAAAAAATGTAATTGAACTGAACAGTAATCCTATAGATGTGTTTTGATCAGGTTAGATCAGATCAGGCAGTTGTCTCCCTCCTTCTGGACCCTTTATTTCTATTCACGTGGACTAAGATTTGCGTCAGCTTTTTGGCTGACCTGTGTCACTACTATTGATTCATATTTACAGTCCACCAAACCTGCAAGTCTTTCTGTTGTCTAGCAGTTTCTCTTCTACTCTTTACTTGTGCAGTTGATTTTTCATCTCTGTGTGTCATCCGATTATGGTTTCTTTCAAGCATAAGCTCAATTGAATTCTGCCTCTCATTCAGTTTGTTGTTGTTGTTGAAATATAAAGTATTCTAATTACATTGTTAAGAGGTATGTCTGTAATACCCTTTATCACTAAGGTGATAAAAGACAATAATTACATATATTTGAATTTTATATGGAGTTTAAATTCATCAGGTTATATAATATAATATAATATAGTACAATGGTGCATGACAAGTACTAGCTTAATTTTATTAATATTATGAGTTACAGGAATTTTCAAGTAATAATTTTTCTTCTCCATTACTTTCCTTATTCCTAACCTAGCTAGTATGCTAAGCTGTGCTTAAGTAAATTAGCCATTTAATCTAATAATCAATATTTTAACTTGTTTTTTTCTTATTTCAGGTAGAGAATATGCTATTCCATCCTTGGCACACAGGTTTATGGCAGAGATGGTGGATTTCTTTATTCTGTTTTTTATAAAGGCAACCATGGTCTTAACTATTATGCATGTCAGTGGAATAAAGTAAGTTAAATTATAAAAAGGCTTAACTTCTTTACTTTTTAAAGAAATTTTGTTCAGCTGAAAGTGTATGAATATATATGAGCAAATATCTCAGGAGACAGGATTGTCAATGGTATACTTTGGGTTTGTTTTTGATGTGCTCTTTAAAGTTTATTTCCTATTGGTTTTAGATAATAACTATAATAGAGAACAAAAGTTAATAGCAACAGTAGGAAATTGGCCGGTGTTTAGAGTTAGGGATAGGAAACCTCAAGCTCAAGGGTCTATTTCTGTTTCTGAACTTATTTTTCAGTCTTTGGGAAACAGTATTGCTCTTGCAGCTCTGGAGGCTTCTATGGTCCATTCACAGTGGAACTTCTCAAGGGTAAAGGATAAAGAACATTTAAGCCATGAACAGTGATTTAGTCAGTTGCTCCTTAGTGGCCCTTCCTTTTAGGAGGAAAAGTAAGATTATAAAAATAATATTTTAGTTAAGTACTCAGTAACTCATTGCCCTTTTTCTGTTTTTTTATGATCTAAATTCAGGTTCTGTCACCATCTGAGTCTGTGGCTAAGAAATTATGGCAACAGTACTTTATGTAATGGGCCACCTATTTGGATACCTCAAAAATCAAGAAGTATAGCAAGAGCCTAGCTGATGTTAAATAAGTAAATAGGGGCTAGTTATTTTCTAAGATTGTTATAAATATACCTAAATCACCTGTTTTTATTGATACAACAGATTATATGCATTTATCATATTATTTTAATTTCTTAATATATTCTGTCCCTCTCCCTTCATCCTTTTAATAAAAAAGAAAGAAAAAGCAGCTCACCAGAACTAATCAGCACTGCTATCAGCTGAGTCTTGCCAGTTTGTGAAATATTCTATAGTTGTCCTTCATCTCTCCCATTGAAGGGAGGTACATTGTTTCATCTCTTCTTAGGTGCAAGTGCAGTCATAATGATTATATTTAATTTTAATTAGTTAAAGTACATTTTTTTTCTTTCCCACGTACATTGTTGTAATCATGTACTTCTGGTTTCTGCTTCCTTCTGCATCTGTTCATATAAGTCTTCCTGTGCTTCTCAGAATTCTTCACATTTATCATTTCTTGTAATAAAGTAATATTTCATTACATTCATTTACAGTTTGTTTAGCCATTCCTTATTTAATGGGAATATTTGTTTGTAGTTCTTTGCTATTACAAAGTATTGCTCTAACTGTTTTGGTATATATGAAATCTTTCTGTCTTTCACCTTTTTGGGGTGTAATATAAACTTAATTCAGTTTCTCATGTTCCTTTTTAAAGCTGTCTTGCCCTTTAAAAAAAAAGTTTGTTTTTTGCTTTTTTGAATGGGATTTTGGTGATACGAGCTGACAGCATACATTTACTCTGTGTGTGTGTATGTGTGTGTGTGTGTGTGTGTGTGTGTGTGTGTATAATTTATTTACCATAGTTTAATATGTTTCAGAATTGTGTATATACCTGGTAGCATTCATTCCTTTTAGTAAAATGTAGCTGTATTTTAAAATAAGAACTTACTTTTTCTGCTGCAATTTTGAAAGAACATTGTTTCAAAAGGAAAAACAAAATAGAAGCTTACAGTCCAAACAGTCTTTGAAATATTTGTGGTCTCCATAAAGAGGGGTTCAGTCTACAGTGACTGGTGTGTACATTTCTGTGGGCTAATGGTAGAGGGACACTAAGGGGTTCTTGGCAGCATTTGGCTTTTTAGTTCTCAGAATTTAAATTTATACCAGTGATTAACATGTGTTATGTATTCATGTTTTGACACAGCAGAACTTTTCCTGTCCACGGTAATTTAAACTTAGATGTCCAACCTGATGATAATAAACTTTTTTTTAACAATAAGTAGGAGAAAAGTATCCTGAATTTGACTACCCAGTACTTGTGTCATATGTAGTGACAAGATAATAGCACCAGCGGGAAAAGAGAAACTCACTATCTAGCCATCTTCCCTTTTTTTTTTTGTGAGGTATGTATGTTTTTTAAAAAAATTAGGAACACTTCTATGAAGTTATTTTCAATTTGACTGTATTTAAAATATTTCCTAATTGACTTTTATCATCCTTCAAAATTCTGAGCTTTTGTGAAAACTTAACCTAACATTTGGAGGATCTGAGATAGAATGAAACACAGGATCATTTAGTACTTCTGTGCTACATGATTCTCTCTCTTTCTCTCTTTTTACCATAAAGTTAATTTGAACATAGCCTCTGGCAAAGTACGGAGGTTAAGGAATCTCACAAGCCATTGCTCTGAACCCATTGAGTCCATCAAACTGCCTCCTGAATCAGATTGATACTTTTAGAAGGCTAGCTAATGGTTTCCCAAATGGGGGGGAACATGACATCCTGCCAGAGGTCCACAACCAGTCCTTAAGGAGGTGTTTAAATAACTAATTGCAAGGTAGAAATACAGTAGTGCGCTGGAGCCAGGTTACAATTGTTCAGTTTCAGCATGAACATTTTTATCTTCGAACTCAGCAAACACTTCACTTCAGGACTTGATTTGTTTTACTGATTATCTAGACTTAAGAAAATGATGAAGAAAATGTTAATAGTTCAAATTAAACTTAAAAGTGTGTCATATGTCCATTTTTCTTTTCAGAGAGCTGATTCTTGGACATTTACCAGCATATTGGTACTCTCATCGCACCCTTGCTCTGATAGTTAGTCTTGTCTCCAACACAGCCACACCTACCTTTATCCCTCAAACAGTCCTTCACCTTTCCCCTCCCTTTTCTGTGCAAGCTTTACATCTCCCTCCCACCCTTCTGAGTCAGGTATTGGCCCCTAAACTAACTGCTATGCACTGCAGCTGTGCTGGAGTAATTGAGAAAATTCTACCTCATCTCCTGCCACCTAAATTGCCTGATGGTTATGGCAGGTGTTCTGTATTCTGCAGTTGGAGAATAGAACTACTTCTTACTTGATGGATAGGCATGGCTACATTGTTATCCTGCTCACAGATAACATTACATCTTTTCCCTCTAACCCCACTCATCTTCCCTAGTATTGTTGAGATCACAACCATCCTTCTAGTCACCCACGTTTTCATAGCTGTCATCTTTGACTTTTTAGTTTTCCTCATTCCGAATCTACATGTCCATTCAGTTGCTGAGTATTGTTGGTTCTGCTTCCACATCTCTCATAGCTCTCACCTCACCACTCATATATACCACTGTCATCCAGGCTGTCATCACTTCTCACCTCCTATTTTGTCTCCCTACTTCAAATATTTTTTTTGATTCAGTAATTTAGTATTCAACATTCACATCCACAAGATTTTGAGTTCCAAATTTTCTCCCCATCTCGTCCCTCCCCCAACCTTGAGACAGTGTGCATTCTGAATACCCTTTCCCCTAAGCCGTGCTAAAGTAAATTAGACATTTAATCTAATAATCAATTTTTAACTTGTTTTTTTCTTATTTCAGTTAGAGAATATGCTATTCCATCCTTGGCACACAGGTTTATGGCAGAGATGGTGCCTTCTATCTCCCTCCCTTCTCTTATCCCCTTCCTTTTCTATTTTCCTGTAGGGCAGGATAGATTTCTATACCCCATTGCTTGTATAGCTTATTTCCCAGTTGCATGTGAAAATTTTTAATATTTGTTTTTAGAACTTTGGGTTCCAAATTTTCTCCTTTCCTCCCTCCCCACCCACCCTCATTGAGAAGGCAGGCAACTTGATACAGGTTATACTTGTGTAGTCATGCAAAACACTTCCATAGTAGTCATGTTGTGGAAAACTAACTATATTTTCCTTCATCCTATTTCCCCCCCCCATTTATTCTATTCTCTCTTTTGACTCTGTCCCTCCACAGAAATGTTTGTTTCTGATTACCCCCTCCCCCAATATGCCTCCCCTCTATTATCCCCCCCACTCTTTTATCTCCTTCCCCCCTGTTTTCCTGTAGGGTAAGATAGCTTTCCATACGTAATTGAGTGTGTATGTTATTCCCTCCTTAAGCCAGATCCAGTGAGAATAAGATTCATTCATTCCTTCTCACCTTTCCCCCTTTCCCCTCCACTGTAAAAGCCTTTTCTTGCCTGTTTTATGTGAGATAATTTATCCCATTCTACCTCTCCCTTTCTCCTTTTCCCAGTATAATCCTTTCTCACCCCTTAATTTTATTCTCCAGATATCACCCATTCATCTTCAACTCACCCTGTGCCCTCTTTCTATCAGTCTACATATATAATTTTTTTTCCCTCTAACTACCCTAATACTGACTTACAAATATCATCTTTCCATGTAGGAATGTAAACAGTTGAACCTTAATAAGTCCCTTGTGATTGCTCTTTCCTGTGTACCTCTTCATGCTTCTCTTGAGTCTTGTATTTGAAAGTTAGATTTTCTGTTCAGCTCTGGTCTTTTTATCAAGAATGCTTGAAAGTCCTCCATTTCACTGAATGTCCATTTTTTTCCCCTGAAGGATTATACTCAGTTTTGCTGGGTAGGTGATTTTTGGCTGTAATCCTATCTCCTTTGCCCTCCAGAATATCATATTCCAAGCTCTCTGGTCCCTTAATGTAGAAGCTGTTAAATCCTGTGTTATCCTGATTGTGTTTCCACAATACTTGAATTGTTTCTTTCTGGCTGCTTGCAATATTTTCTCCTTGACCTGGGAACTCTGGAATTTAGCTACAATATTCCTAGGAGTTTTCCTTTGGGGATCTCTTTCAGGAGGTGATCTGTGGATTCTTTCAATTTCTATTTCACCCTCTGATTCTAGAATATCAGGGCAGTTTTCCTTGATAATTTCTGGAAAGATGATGTCTAGGCTCTTATTTTTTGGTCATGGCATTCAGATAGTCCAATAATTTTTAAATTATCTCTCCTGGATCTATTTTCCAGGTTAGTTGATTTTCCAGTGAGATATTTCACATTGTCTTCTATTTTTTCATGCTTTTGGTTTTGTCACTGGCTTCCAATTGCTCCATTCTAATTTTTAAGGAAGTATTTTCTTCAGTGAGCTTTTGGACTTACTTTTCCATTTGGCCAATTCTGTTTTGAAGGCATTCTTCTCCTCATTGGCTTTTTGGACCTCTTTTGCCATTTGGGTTAGCCTATTTTTTAAAGTGTTATTTTCTTCCGTATTTTTTTGGGTCTCCTTTAGCAAGCTGTTGACTAGTTTTTCATGATTTTTTTGCATCACATTTCTCTTCCCAGTTTTTCTTCTGCTTCTCTTACTTCTTAAAAACCTTTTTGAGCTCTTCCATGGTCTGGGACTGATTTATATTTTTCTTGGAGGCTTTGGATGTAGGAGCTTTGACTTTGTTGTCTTCTTCTGGTTGTATATTTTGATCTGCTTTGTCACTAAAGAAAGATTCTATGGTCTGACTTTTTTTTTGCACAGTTTGATCAGAATCCCAGCCAATTACTGGAGTTCTAAACTCTTTGTTAAGGTAGGGGTCTGCTTCCAGTGTGGAGAATGTACTGTCCCAGGCTTCAGGGGTTTTGTGCAGCTGTTTTCAGAGATACTTCTAGGGACCTGTAAGTTTTCAGTTCTTCCGAGGTGGTATGATCAAAGGAGAGGTGTTTGTGCCTTTCCTGGCCTGTGCTCTGGTCTGTGAGTGACCACAAGCACTCTTTTCTGCCTTGGAACTGTGAGGATTCCCTCTCTACCGCCACCACAAGCTCTACCACGCCAGCACTCCTTCTTGCCCCAGGAACGCCACCCAGAACTGTGACCCAGAAACCACCACAACTACCTGTGATTCAGTCCCCTGAGGCCTGCTGCAGGTTCACTGAGGCCTATTTTGCCTGTATTGCCAAGCTAAACTACATTCCTCTCCCAGCACAGTGCAATAGAGCTTTCTAATCAACCATCCAAGTTGTCTTGGGCTGGAAATTTGTTTCACTCTTTTTATGGGTTCTGCTCTAGAATTGGTTTATTTGGAGAGGTTTGGGGGAGAGCTGAAGCAAGTCATTGCTTTTACTCTGCCATCTTGGCTCCACCCCCCCTTTCAAATTTTTCCCAACTCTAATCCATTCTACATGCAACTGCTAAGATGATTTTCCTAAAGCACAGGTTTAAATATATATGTTACTTCCCTACTCAGTAAGTTCCATTGGCCCCCTAGTGATTCTAGGGTCAAATGTTATTTCATATTTATTGAATCCCTTTAAAAATTAAGTCTTATTTAATACTTCTCCCTTGCATGTGTATTATGCATCAGCAAAACTGGACTACTTAATGTACCCTATCTCACTCTTCTTCCTTATATAGTCTCTGTCATCTTTATCTCCTGTATTCTGTATTGAAGTATTCCAAAGTATTCGACTGAAAATCTTTATTTCATTTTCTGTCCCTACCCTAATTTAAATTTTGGATAGATTTTCTTCAGACTTGCACAAACTAATTTATGTGAGTAGATGAACTGTAGTTATAGATTCAGATGAGACAGAAAGGTAAGGGATGCCAGTTGTTAGGATGGCATCTGTAGACATACAGTTGCCAATCCATGAGTAAGCTAATGAAAGTTTCTTAGGGAAAAAAAAAAGATAACTGAAGAAATTCTTAAGTATTGTGAAATCTGGCATATGAAAATGAGTGGGAAGTACTTGCTCCAGAAGAGCTATTCATTTTTAGAATTTCCTTTAAATATTGGTGTACTTTAATGGAATATGTTAATCTGTCATTTATTCAGCTATTCTCATAATTCATTCTTTATAACCTAAATGTTGTCTTTTATTCTCTGTAGGGATATTTCTAAGTTTGCTATGCATTATATAATAGAAGAAATAGATGAAGACACATCAATGGAAGACCTGCAGAAAATGATGATTGTGGCTCTTATATACAGGTTATTAGTTTGTGTCTATGAGGTAAGATTCTGGTATTTCAAGAAATTTTTTAAAACATTATTTAATCTTTATTTTAATAAACATTAAATTTTTTATAATGTTTAATTTAATTTGTTTATAATTTTTAAATTTTTTTAAAAAATTTAATTTGTTTATAATGTTTAATTTAATATTTAATGATAGAAATTAATACAAGGCAAAATTGGGCATTTTAGTCTTCAACAATCATAAAGTCTTAGACTTGATGGAGAGCTTTAAAATAATCTAGCCTAAACCTCCTCATTTTATAAGAAACAGAGATCTAGAGAAATAAAATGATTTTTCATTTTTCAAGTTCTCAGTAGTAAGAGTTAAGGACTAGACCCTACGTTTTTCCTAAGCCAGTGCACTTTCTACTGTAGCTTGTGCCCAGAATGTCAGGTAGCTTATAAGAACTTTTTTAGATACACACAAATACTTACTATTCTATACAATCTCTTTATAGATGTAGGAATGTTTCGGGGGTTTTTTTTAATCCTTCCATTCATTCTTGGTCAAAACTTTATCAATAGTAAATTAATTAGGATTTGCTGATTGAAAGCAAATAGGGTACAGTAGAAAGAATTCTACTGGACTTTGAGTAGGACACCTGGGTTTGAATAACAGCTCCAGTAATTACTACTTATTTGGCTGTATACAAGTCACTTTATTGATGTGTCAGGTTTTTTCATCTATAAAATAGTGATAATGATACTTTACCTACTTCACAAAGTTTTTGTGAAGAAAATATTTCATAAACCTTATAGCACTATGTAAATATAGATAATTTTGTTGTTATTATTATTGAGCCCCTACCTATTTCCAATACCTATGTTAGGTTATATGGAGGATGTAAAAATGTAATATATACTAACCCTGCCCTCAGGGAGCTTAGTTTGAAGCCAGTTTAGGAACAGAACTAGACAGAATGTATCAGGTCACTAAGAGAAGCTGCAGAATACCTCTCTCTGGAATGGACAATAAAAATGATATTTTAAAACATATTAGATCTAGTCCTTGTTTAGGTATATAATGATGGTTTTCTCATGATAAACTCTAGCTATGATGTTATAGAAAATGCTTTCCTTCCACTTTAAAGTTTTCAGCAACTATTGAGCAAACAGAATATTGGGGAAAACTTTATTAACCAACAAAATTGAGAAGGGAAATGTTTTTTTTTTATTTTTACCTCTTTTTTAAGATATTTTATTTTTTCCCAATTACATATTTTTTTATCTCTCTTTCCAGATAATTTGTATATGGGGAGCAGGTGGAGCCACTCCGGGGAAATTTTTGCTGGGACTTCGTGTTGTGACATGTGATACATCAGTACTCATTGCACCAAGCCGTGTTTTAGTGATTCCTTCCTCAAATGTTAATATAACAACGTAAGTTTTAGGTTTTTATTTTTAAGCTTGCTCTATACTGATAAGACTAATTATGAACTTTTAAGAATAAGTATTCAAAGCAAAATCAACTGACCTAGAAAACTGATCAAGGAGGGAAAATTTAAGTATCTTTAGACTACCTGAAAGCCATGACCTCAAAAACAAACAAAAAAAAAACCAGCCTAGATATCCTATTTCAAGAAATCATAAAAGAAAACTGCCCATGTCTCTTAGAACCAGAGGGCAAAACAGAAATAGAAAGAAACCACTAGTCACCTCTTAAAAGTAAGGTAACTCCCAGGAATATTATAACCAAAATCTAGAGCTTCCAGATCAAAGAAGAAATACCACAGGCAGCCAGAAAGAAGAAATTCAAGTGCCAGGGAGCCACAGTTAGGATCACACATGATTTAGCCACTGCCACTATAATAAGGCATAGAGATTGAAGTACAATATTCCAGAAGGTAAAGGATGTAGGCTTAAAACTAAGAATTACTTACCCAAAAAACTGAGAATAAACCTGCAGAGAGGAAAATGGATCTTTAATGAAACAGATAATCTCCAAATATTCCTGATGAAAACCAGAGCTGTATAGAAACTTTGAAGTTCTGTAAACATAGGAATCAAGAGAAACATGAAAGATAAATATAAATGAACACTCACAGGGGACTAAAGATTCTAATACTGTGAACTGAAAAATGTGTGCACTCTGAACCCTATTATAACTAAGGGTCATCAGGGAATCTAATTAGATGGATAACATGGGAGTAGTTCTGTTATGTCTCGATGCTTGTAGAAGAAGAGTTGACTCACCCCCCCCAAAAAAAAAAAGTTGAAAGGGAGGGTAAAAGGAATTTAGTAGGTGGAGGGGACAAGAAGGTGAGAAAAGTTAGGAGAAATTACCTCATAATTGAGGTGGTCAAATACAAATCTATACAAAGAAGAAGGGGAATTTGGGGCCTGACTGACTTGAATCTCACCCTCATCTGTACTGGTCAGGAGGGAAGAATACTTACAAACACCCACATGTATACACACAGAGAGTTGGATACAGAAATACATTTCACTTAGGTGGGAAATAGGGAAAGAGAAGGGAGAATTAGAGGGTGGGTATATTAAGGGAGAGATTTGTCCTAAGCAAAATAAATCCTAAGAATGTGTATATTTGTTTTTGCTGTGGCAAAGAATTGGGAACTGAGGGAATATCTATCATTGGGGTGAATGGCTGAACAAGTTGTGGTATATAAACATGATGAAATATGATTGTGCTGTAAGAGATGATGCAGTGAATGGTTCCAGAGAAACCTGGGAAGACCAATATGAACTGATGCAAAGTGAAGTAAATGGAACCAAAAGAATAATGTATACAGTTATAGCAATATTGTAAAGATAGTCAACTTTGAAAGACTTAGGAACTCTGATCAGCATAATGACCAGGCTTGATTATAGAGGACTAATGATGAAATATACTGCCCACTTCCTGATAGAGAGGTAAAGGACTCAGAGCATAACTTGAGACTTTTTTTTTAAACATGGTCAATACAGAAATTTGTTTTCATTAACTATACATGTTTGTAACAGGAGTTTTTAATTTTTTTCATTCCCAGTTGGTGGGAAAAAAAGCAGATTTTTGCAGATTGAAAATATATATACATTTTTTTTAAAAGAAGGGAACCAATATGATTAAAAGTTTCAAGATCATACCACAAGAAGATAGACTAAAGAAACTGGGGATACTAAACCTGGAGAGTACAAGACAGGAAGTTACTTTCAAGTCTTTAAAGAGTTGCCATGAAAGCAGCATTACACCTATTATGCTTGACTCTAGAGGGCGGAAATAGGAGTGGAAGTTGCAGAAAGATAAGAGTTTAATGAAAAACTTAAAATTAGAGCTATCCAGAAGTGGAATGGACTTTTTTAAAAAAAGTGCTCTGTTTTATTAAGCCTTTAAAACAAAGATCTTATGCTTAGTGGCAATACTGTATATTCATCCCAAGATGACAGGGATGATGCCCCGCCACCCCCCCTTCCCAAGTCACTTTATACTTGGGGCAAATAGAGTGCCTGTCAGTCTCTGATTTCATAGTAGCATGGGTCTTCTAGTACATTTGATTCTTTGAGGCTCAGTATCCCTGTTGGTAGGCCTTGTCCTCATCATTCAAGCTAAGGGCTACAATTCCGGTGTTAGTACAAAGAAAGACTGAATAGAATACTGGTTCTTGTTACGTTTTGAAATTCCACAAGCTTCTTTAAATTGCCAGATAGGAATGAGTTTTTTTTAAAAAGTGGAAAGGTAAAAATCTGATATTTGCAGAATTATTTTCTAGGCTGAACTATTACTAAAGAGATTTGAACCTGTTTTTGAAGGTCTGCTTATTTAACTGCCCAATTTCAAAAAGAAAGGAAAGCTGGAAGATAATTAAACCCCTAGGGCTTCATATATGATAAAAACCGGGAGTATAGTAGAACTACTTAGTTTAAAGTGGAGGTGATGCCAGTACAGTTTAATGAGTGATTGCAGAAAAAGCAATCAATGGAATATTTATTCTTTTACAAAGTGTTCTTTTTCTGTTACTGGAAAAACACTTTAAAGTGTCATTAATTCTGTGTCCAGCACATCTCAATCTGTTATTTTTTTTTCCTCTGTTAACACACTGGGGTCACAGTTTTTGAAAGTAACTAAAGGGTTATGGAATCTGATCACAATCCCTGCTATTCAAAAATGACTGAATATTATAAGCAAAATTTATTTTGTAAGTGAACATGGACTATACTTATGATTTAGGTTAATATTAAATAGTTTGGACTTAGGAAAATGATTTTGTGTTAAAAATGAGTGTTACCTGATTTCTTTTTTTGTCCTTTAAATATTTAGGTCCATTATTCGAGCCTTGATCAAGAATTTTTCTATTGCTTCTTTTTTTCCTGCTTTCATCACACTGCTGTTTTTTCAGCATAATCGAACAGCATACGACATTGTGGCAGGAACCATTGTGGTAAAAAGAAATGGGGTTAGATGATGCCAAGAAAAAGCCCTGAGTTCTATACTTTCTGTAATAATGACAAGACTAAAATTATGTTTGAGGCTGTCAGTATCCTTGGGTTAGATTAACTGGTGATTCGGAAATTAAAGTCACTCCCACGTGATGCAGATGACTATCGTGAAAGTATTGACTTTACTTGAATGCCAAAGAACTTTACCAGAAAAGAAACAGTACTTATTCAATGAAAAAGTGTCAAATTTTTCAATTGAAAAGGCATGTAATGTCACAGTCAACTATGGACATATACTTTCTTACATTCTAAGGCATGATAGTTTGCTGGGAGTAATTTCAGCCTTGAGTCTCCAGATGAAATTTCTGCAGCCTTTTGTGTTTAACACAAAAGGATGCAGAATGTCCAGTTGTGTTTTGTGAACACCTACATACTCCACCTTCTAGGTTAACACCTCTTAGAAAGATTGCAACCTTTATTTTCTTCTAGGGGATGAAATTAATTATTTCATCCTAATAATTGGTTCCATGAGATGTGAATTGGACAGTGGAGGCTAAGGTTATCAGTTATCTCTTACCTAAAGCTTTTTAACATGTACTGCATTTTACTTAAAGAATGGTGCAACTTTACCACTGTTCTAAATATTTAATCCAAATGTATATTTTGTGACAGGTCTTGCATGATGATGATCACAAGTATTAAGTCTATTACTATATTATCAATGTTTTTTTTTAAAGGAAGGTAAGTTAGTGATTCCTTTTTATAAATGAATCAAAAGTAAAATTTCCAAGGTAGATTGAACTTTATATTGATGTGCAAATGTTTCAGTGCTCTAAAGGGAACACTGTGGACTATAAATACATAGAGAGAAATAATCACTTCTTTTGATGGTAAAAATGATTACTTCCATCAAGTTGTTGCATATAAACAGTACAGTATGAAACAATATTCTAATCGTGTTTGCAGCATGAAGAAAGTATTAGTGTATCTCAGTATTCTGAAGTTGAATGTAACATCTTTACAAATAGGATTTTCACTCAATAATCAGTCCTCACTTTGTATCCTTTATAGTTACGTAGTTGTACTGTTGGAGTGAACTGCATCAATCTGTTGAATAAAGAACCTCAGTATTTCGTGATATATTTACATGCCATTATACTGTGAAATGTTTGTATTTTTCCCAATACGAAATAATCATTTGAAAATAACTTGCAAAGGAAGTATTGTCTTCAGACATTGACCAGAGTTTGAAAGTGTTCTTTAGTTGCACTGGAATTCCTTAATCCTACCTATTTATTATCAGTGGGCCAAAAAGAATTCAGTGGTTTCATTTATTCAGTTTACTATTAACTATGCTGCTGGTTACAGGGAATACAGTATTTAAGGAGTTAGGAAGAATGGTAATTCCATATGTTGTCATTTCATTCATTCCACTGCTAACAAAAAAACATGTTTTTGTTTCTTCTTTTTGCCCCAGTTAGTGCTGTTGAGATATTTCTGAGCCAAATAAACAGGTTTTTCTGGTTTTATTAGCCATATTATAACCAGCATCTCCATTTATTTGAAAATAAAGGTAGTGTGGTATAATGGAAAGAGCATTGAATTTGGAATCAATAGAGATTTGAATTCAAATCCCAGTTATGATACTACCCATGTGATTATAGACAAGTCTCTTCGCGGCCCAATTTCTTCATCTGTGAAATTACTTAAGGCTTGGTTCAGTGGTTTCAAACCTAAATAGAAACACATCTCTGCATGCTAAATATTGACTCAGAAAACCACAAATTAACATTATTCATGTTGTGTTGTAATTTTATTTATTTTGTTAAACATTTCCCGATTATATTTTTTCAGCTGGTTCACTCCATTTGTGACCTCTGGACTAAATGATTTAAATTCCTTGCAGGTCTGAAACCTATGGTCCTAGAATATTTTCTTAGATAAATTTTTGTCAAACAATATGGAAATTGTGTAGTGAAACGAAATAGCCTTTGATATTCTTGGCTTTTAAAAATAACATATTGCTACATGACAAAACAAAAAAATATACTCCCTGTTAATACTGTCATACCAATTTTTAAAATTATTTTTCTCAAAATTTACTATAGAAATTATTTGAAATACTGTTTTTACAATTTGTGTTTACAGAACTTGAACAATGAGCTCTTTTTTGGTGTAACTTTACTTTAAAACTTCACAAGCCACATTTATTTTTCAAAACTATTTGGTGTTAGATTCAGCTTCATTAAAAACTGTTGGAAGTAGGATGCTAGATTTGGTCATTATCGAAATCCGTATGACATCACAGAAAAATAAATGAACCAGTAGTTAAATTAACCTTTTAAACCTTACAGAATTCTATAAATTTGAATTTTTTTTATGGGACAGGGTAGAAAATACTGCAAAAATACAACTAATATATATAATGCTCATTACCAGTACTATTCATTGTACTATATTTCATCACTATCACTTTTTGGTTGTAACTTGGACATTATCGCTCTTTTAGACTGCTAGGGAAGTAATTTAAAGCACTGGGGAAAATTGGATTCTGGTATTATAGCACATACCTCAAGTGGTACCATGCCAATAGGAGTATCTTTTTTGTCTCTTCAAAGCACTACACCCTTCCTTATTAATAGGAATTTGAGTTGCCCCTTCTCTTTCACGAAATTATATTGCCCTAAAGTTCAAACTTAAGAAAGAAAAAGATACTAGAAAAATTTACTGCCTTCACATTCATGTATTTTATAGTATTTGTATATTTTTAATTTAAAATATGTGTAAGATATAAATAAGCAAATCATAAAAGGAAATTAAGGGGAGAAATTTAGTTGTGATATTATTTCAGTGAGAGTTATCTAAGTATACCCACTGTATCTGAGAATGCAGAATTAGCTTTACATATTTATTACTGAAGCCTAGTATTAATATTTTATAAACTCTACAACTATTCATTACTAAAATTGTAATGAACAGCCCTGTGTGCTTTGGAAGAGGAAGCCTGAAATACATTGTGAAGTTAATGATCATACAGATTCTTAGTGAATCGTTTTGTTAAATCAAGCCTCTTTGATCAGATTATGAAGTTATATAAATTGCAATCTGATAAATAATGCTCAATTTTCTAGCATCTTAAAAATCTATTTTAAGCACTTACCCTGCCAGTATTATGAAAGGACTTTTAGCATAAATTTTCACGACAGTCTTTCACAACTGAAATTTACCAATCAAGCATTTAAACACCTACAGTATATGTAGGTATCATGCATACACAGACATTGGGGATAAAAGACAAAAATGAAGTGCCCTCAAGGGTCTTAAATTCTATTGGGGGAGACCATTTGTGTATGTCTAGTTGAATATTATTAAACTAATGTACTGTCTAAACATTTATTTTCTTAGTATTCTGATTTCTCCTAAGAATACACATTTATCTTCTAAACTACATTACTACATTTATAAATGAGGAAGTTTATTAGGAAATGAGCATACACCTTTTTTGCTAGATCAACTTGTATATATAATACAAATAATTGTCCATTTCTGTGGTTTTGTTATACCATATATTTCCAGTTGCACCATAGGTATTTTACTATTATTAACTCAGTGCAGCTATAGGAAACTATATTGGCATATAATTATTTTTTTCAGGTAAAATTTTCCTCATTTCCCTTCAGTTCCTTGCTGATTGGAGTAGTTTTCTTTGGGTAGGGGGAGACAGGAATTGAAACCTATTTATTTGCTACTTGTTAATTTGTATATAAGGATTTGGCTGAGAAGGAGATTGAATCTGTTGGGTAAAACTAGGTTTGAGGATTATCAAATTTTCTAAATAAATCCTTTACATTTGTGACATGCCTGCCCCTATTAAAGATAGTTTACATTCCATTATTTATCTTGGGTAATGTTAAGGTTAGTTTGTTTTCAAACATATAACTCCCAAATACTTTTAATATAATAGTATTTGTGAAATTGAACCATCATAGAAAAATGTAAAAAGTGTTATACAAATATCCACATCAGAAAAAATACATAGTTCAAGTTCTGTTACAACACAACTATTACAAAAATATCTTTAACAGAGATTTTCCCAAATTGGTCAAGGATATTCTTCAAAAAGTATTTGCTAAAATAAGCTCTACCACTACACCATAAAAATACAGAAAGGCCATAGGAGTTCATTGTCATAGAAAATGACCTGCATCATTGTTTTCTAATAAATCATGCTATTTCAATTTGTAAGCTGCCAATTTGTATATTATCCTGTCTTAATAAAATCTTTATTACAGTCTTCATGGTGTTTATGCATTGTCTCTAATTGGAAATGTTTTGGTTTCAGAAAATGGTGTGGGCCCCTACTAGGATCTCCACCTTTGCTTATAGATGTACTCCAATGGAGGGAGTATTTACATTTAGCCTCTGATATTCTTACAAAATCTGAGTCAAAAGAGACTTTAGACATTCTCTAACGTAGCTCATACCTGAAGTCCCCTACCATCTCTTCTCTAAAGGAAATCCCTCTAACTTTTTCTAAGAAGTGGGTATCTCTTCAATTAGAATCTGAAGATCTCCACCAAAGGATAATTTGCTGCCAACCAAAGCTGCCCTTTCCACTTTTGGATAGTTCATTTTAGTCAGTCAGCAAGTATTTAGTGTTAACTATGTGCCAGGCATAGCTATAAATGCTGTAAATACAAATACAAAGAAAGTCTGACTCTATAGGAGATAACATTCTAATGTGAGATGATAGCACATAAAAGGAGGATACAGGTGGGAAGGTACCCCTCCTCACCCCCATGGGTATGATGAGGAGTCCTGAGTGCAGTCTGATGAGAAATGAGAAGGCTAGTCTGGCTACCCTCCTTAAATGGAGGCTTTGGGAGGAGCCAGAGAGAAGTACAAAAGATACTTCCAAGATATATATTCCAGGTGAAGTTGATCATTTAAGATGAAGTTCCCTGGGGTTAGGGAGCATTTCCTTACATTGTACCTAATTTTTAAAGGGGGGGGCAGCTAGGTGGTGCAGTGGGTAGAGCTCCAGCCTTGGAGTCAAGAGGATCTGAGTTCAAATCTGGCCTCAGACGACCCTGGGCAAGTCACTTAATCCTGACTGCCTCACCAAAAAGCAAAAAAACCCGAAAAAACATTGTACCTAAATTGTCTTACATCCCCTTCCAATTATTAGTCCTAGTTTTGCCTTCTGGGGTGATAGAGAATATAATATTTCTTCTATGTGATTGCCCTTTAGATAATGTATTCTCCAGGGTGAACATTTTCAGTTATTTTACTTGATCCTTGAATATGCTGTGTTTCATCAGCATCCTTCCTAAAATGTAGTGCCCAGAACTGTACAATACTTCAACAGGATTATTACCTCCTTGGTTCTAGTCACTGCTTACTGGTGCACCTTAAGATCAAATTAGTGTTTTTGGAAGCTATGTTATGTTTAGATTCCAAATTGTTTTCCAGAATCTAAACTATTTGTTGGGAGGGTTGTGGAAATACAGGCACACTAATGCATTGTTAGTGGAGCTATGAATTAGGTCCAACCATTCTGGAAAACAATTTGGAATTATACAAAGAAAGCGACTAAAATGTCTGACTCGCGACCCAGAGGGTCCACTGCTGGGCACATACTCTTAACGAGGTTGTAAGGCCCTCAGTAACCCCCCTGCCTCACTAAACAAAGAAATCCCATGAAACTCAAATCTCTAGTCACCTGCAGTCTGCAGTGATAAAAGCCCTGTTCCCACTGGGGAAAATTTGAATATCAGTAAATCACCAGTTCTCTAAGGGTGCTCCCTCTCCCGGGCTCCTCACCAACATGAATCAGCACTAGTCCCCAAGCCTTGATCTAAACATTGTCCAGGCTCTCCACACTCCCCACCCACCGTATTTCCTATAGTTGGTCCTGCTTGATCCAAATAAGAACCTATAAAAACCCACCAGGTTTAACCAGCTTTTGCACTCCCATCCATCAGACATCCACTAGGACTTGACCTGTTTCTATATTCCCTGACTGCCATTCTGAGTGTATTTTCCCTCAGCAAAGTTGGCTTATTTTTTTCTCTGTTGACTCCTATCGAGTCTATTTTCTGTTTTGTCAAGTCAAGAAACTTTTATTAGGAGTACTATGTGCCAAGCACTGTGCTAAACTCTGGAGACACACACACACACACACACACACACACACACACACACACACACACACACACAGCTCTTGAGGAGCTCACAGTCCAATGGTGCCACACTTTGTACTGCACTTTGGAATCTAAACCTCATTCTCACTGCATTCAGAAGTCAATGTACAAAAAGCTCCCTAATACATTAAAATAGTTGTAGCAGGAATGAACTGGAAACAAAGTAGATGGTCATCAATTAAGAAATGGCTAAACAAGTTGTGATACAGGAGTGTAATAGATTATTACTGTAAAATGCAGAAAGTATGAAAATACTGAATACAGACAAACATGATAAGATATATGAACTGATGCAAAGCAAACAAACCTAGGAAAACAATATATAAAAATGATTACAATAATTTAAAAGGAAAGAATGATAACACTTCACTCCCTGGCCTTCTCATCAGCCTCCTAATTAGCAGCTTCATTGTCTGAAGCAGAAACCAAGTCATGAAGTGCTTAACCCTTTCATGGCCAGAATTACAGCCATAGACTCCCAGTCTTGTTTGATGGTTTTTTCAGGTACCCACTAATAAATCTAGGGCTAGAGGGTCCCTGTCTGTGGTTCCCTCCTTCACTCCCCAGCCATCTCCTCACCAACAACCATGCTATTAGGGGTATGCCCCACGAGCATCTTGCGTGTATGCCCACCTTGCTTATCCTCGAATCAAATTAGCTCTCTCATTACTTTTGAAATGGGGTCCTTCAATGGCACCATTCACCAACCCTATAGTTTTCCAAACAAAACTATTGCTCCTTGGCCACCATTCTGCTGTATGTTTTGTCTCCTCTGATTAGAATATAAGTTCCCTGAATACATGTTTTCTCTTGAATGATCACACTTAGGGTTCTCTTCCTACCTATCTGACTGCTCCTTCTCAATCTCTTTGAAAATGCTGTTGGGTCTTCATCCAAGTCACACATCTACTAAACCTAGGTGTCCCAGAGAGTTTTGTTCTGGTCCCTCTTTTCTTCTCCCTCTATACTATTTTACTTGGTGATCTCAGAAGCTACCATGCATTCAGTTATTACCTCTATACTGATGACTCTCAGAGCTGCTTATCTAGCCCTATCTCTCTGCTGACCTCCAATATCTCATCTCCAACTGTCAATCAAATACCTTCAGTAGAAATCTTAAACTCAACATGTCCAAAACAATTCATTAACTCTCTACCAAGCCCACCTGCTTCCAAACTTTCTTATTAGGGGAGATAAGAGAACTAAGTCTGTATCATTGCTCTATCAATCATGTTATATTTGATAGTGAACTTTGTAGGCCAAATACTACGTAGAAATTGGGTTATCTGAGCCCATTAGGCACTTTGGCCTCACGCTACCAGAGTGAAGCCAGCTATATCTCCCCCTAAAATGTCTTAGATTTAGGGATACCCCTGAAAGGTTGGAATGTCTTTCTCTAGTGGCATCTGATCAAGCCTCCATGTTTCTCACACTGTTAGCCACTAGTGATTAGCACCTCAGTTCCATGTAATTAATTAATATCAATTCAGTTTTGATGAAGACATTTACTGTGAAAATATATCAAGGAAAGAGTACAAATATTCTCAACACATGGGGACACATTCTCCCTGATACTATTACCAGAGTGAGCGCAGACTCACATCATAATGGCACTTTATCTTTTTTTTTTTTTAAATTTACTCATTCTTCCAGCAATCTACTCTAGGCAACTTGGTGAAGCTTATCTAGCTCTGGACTCTGGTCCACTCCAATCACTCCTCAGTCTAGCAACCTTCTTAGATCATTATTGGGACATTATGGGGAACTGGGCTGTTGCTGCTTACTCCTCCACCATCTTGGTTCAGTCTATTCCTGATTTGGTTTCCATGGCTCAGTACATGATCCTGGGATCCTGGTTGTTACTAGCAGAGGCAAAAAAGAAAAAGTTAAAACTTTACATTTTGAAAGGATGTGCCTGAGAGGTGTTTTAATTTGCATTTCTCTAATCAACAGTGATATAGAGCATTTTTATATGACTATAGATAGCTTTAATTTCTTCATCTGAAAACTACCTGTTCATATCCTTTTACAATTTATCAATTGGGGAATAACTTGTCTTATAAATTTGACTCAATTCTCTGTATATTTTTAAAATGAAGCCTTTATCAGATATAGTACAGTAAAAATTGTTTCCCAGCTTTCTGCTTCCCTTCTAATCTTGGTTGCATTGGTTTTGTGCAAAACCTTTTTAATGTAATCAAAATCATCTATTTTACATTTCATAATGTTCTCTATCTCGTTTGATCATAAATTCTTCTCTTTTCCATAGATCTGACAGGTAGACTATTCCTTGCTCTCCTAATTTACTTATGGTATCACCCTTTATGTCTAAATCATGTAACCATTTTGACCTTTTCTTGGTATATGGTATAAGATGTTGGCCTATGCTTAGTTTCTGCCAGATACTTTTCCAATTTTCCCGGCAGTTTTTGTGAAATAGTGAGTTCTTATCCCAGAAGCTGAAGTCTTTGGGTTTATCAAACAGTAGATTACTATAGTTATTTACCACTGTACCTAACTTATTCCACTGATCCACCCCTCTATTTCTTAGCCAGTACCAAATAGTTTTGATGATTGCCACTTTATAATACACTTTTAGATCTGGTATGGTAAGGCTACCTTCCTTTGCATTTTTTTTTCATTAATTCCCTTGATATTCTTGACCTTTTGCTCTTTCAGATGAATTTTTGTTATTATTTTTCTAGCTCTATAAAATAATTTTTGGTAGTTTGGTATGGCACTGAATAAATTAATTTAGGTAAAATTATCATTTTTATTATATTAGCTTGGCCTACCCATGAGCAACTGATATTTTTCCAATTGTTTAGATCTGACTTTATTTGTGTGAGAAGTATTTTGTAATTTTGTTTGTATATTTCCTGGGTTTGTCTTGAGAGGCAGACTCCTAAATATTTTATATTGTCTACAGTTATTTTAAATGGAATTTCTCTATGCCTTGCTGCTGGACTTTGTGTTGGTATTACTTTCTTAATAAAGGCAGAAAAAGCCTTCAACAAAATACAAAACTCATTCCTACTAAGAAACACTAGAGAACATAGGAATGAAGGGAGCTTTCCTTAAAATGATAAGTAA